CTAACTGCCTGAGTCCTCAGGCACACTGCCTGAATGACTGCTTTTGCCTGTAACAAACTAAATCTTTGTTTTGACCCACTTTCACTTGTCAGATTTTGATAAAATTTGACTTTTTGGAAAGTCTTTCACATAAGGAAACGAATTGCACAAGTTTTGCGAAAAAAATTGCAAATTTTTAGCAAACAACCTGTCAAAGGAAATTTGCACATTTTTAGTTTTTCTTGATTAAAAATAAGGTTATTTAAAATTTTGCAAAATTTTTTGCATATTTTAAATGGCATGGTCAAGGGCTTTTTAAAAATGTATAATTTTCATTTTGTGTACAAATTTTTTTGCAAACATTTTTGCGATAAAAAATTCAATTTTTGCAAATTTGCAATTTTTTTTGCAGATTCTAAAAGTAGAGCACAAGAGCTTTCTAATCATGTATCATTTGTCATATTTGGACATAAAACATGGGATTTAGAGGGGGGGGGCGTCAAATTGATCCCCCCCCAGCATATCCTGGTTTTCAAGTACCCCAGCAGGGATAGGGTTAAACAATAACAGTAGCCATTCAGGAGCTCTATACCATCATGTAGCAACATAATCTTAAACAATAACAGTAGCAGTTCAGAAGCTCTATACCATCATGTAGCAACATAATCTTAAACAATAATAGTAGCTATTCAGTAGTTCTCATATCTTTGTAACATAATGATATTTCAAACTATAAATTTAGTTGAATTAAATAATGTATTTGTTACCATCAGATTTGAAAGATATAGAGGTTATAAAGTTAGAGTTTGAGAGGATTAATCAGTTTGTTTTACCTGTATAAAGCTCTCCAGGAGAAGCTGTTGCTCGAGCAAACCCAAAATCACATAATTTGATCACGCCTAGCTTAGATACAAGAACATTCTCAGGCTTCACGTCACGATGAATCACCTGAAAAAAAGAGAAAATAATGGTGTAAGTCAGTGCAAATGTTTTAGGTGGCTAAGAAGAGAAAGAAATTATTAGTGCGGCTAAATCCAAGTTATGAAGTGGTATGCCCTCCTCCCCTCGTAAATTTAAGGAGAAGGTGTTGAAACGAACATGTATAATCCTTCAAATACAAATTTAAAACTTTTAATTTGATTATGTGAGTTCTCTACCCGAATACTTTTACAAAATGAAACAGAGAGAAAATTTCGATAACTTTTGAAAGAAATTTTTTTTTATTTATTCATGCCCTTTTTTTCTTCTTTTTTTTGACAAATATTGACATGTAAACCATGAAAATAATTCCATTTTTAACAAAATAAATCTCAGCTCTTCCGCTCTAATACGTAACAAGTTATGAACTAACAGGGATTAAAGTTTTGTTTATCAATATTGACATTTTTGAGTTAAGGCCAATTAAAATATTTATTTAAAAATGACGTTATTAAAATTAAAAAGTTTAAAATCAACAAATAGCCAAGCTTTCATTTTTTATTAATGATTATTGATTTGTTCTAATTTAAATTTATTATTAGATCCAGCCCTCTACTTGTCCTACTTTCTACGCTCTTATGGAAAATTACCATGAAAAGGGTTATTATTGAATTAATGAGTAATATTATTTATGAGAAATAATCTGCTTTGATTTCCTCTTTTAAAGGTTCCATCGACGAAATTTCTAGCGAGGCGGATACACTATTCACAACAGTACCCTGTACAATTTTTACAAAGCAACAATGAGGAAGATATCTGTTTTTCTATCTTAAAACACGTTGAATTCTGTTAATTTCATTTCTTCTCTCTGTCGCCTAAACCCGCATTTTTCTTTAAATTGCGCTCATAGTCCATTTAAACATTGTATTTGAAATAATTATGCTACCTGTCCATTTACAGCTTGTAAAGAATTATGCTACTTGTTCATTTAAAGATTGTAAAGAATTATGCTACCTGTCTATCCATTTAAAGCTTTTAAAGAATTATGCTACTTGTCCATTTACAGCTTGTAATGAATTATACTACTTGTCTATCCATTTACAGCGTGTAAATAATTATGATACTTGTCTATTCATTTACAGCTTGTAAAGAATTATGCTACTTGTCTATCCATTTACAGCTCGTAAAGAATTATGCTACTTGTCTATCCATTTACAGCTTGTAAAGAATTATACTTCTTGTCTATTCATTTACAACTTGTAAAGACTTATGCTACTTGTCCATTTTCAGCTTGTGCAGAATTATGCTACTTGTCCATTTACAGCTTGTAAAGAAGTATCTTACTTGTCTATCCATTTATAACGTGTAAAGAATTATGCTACTTGTCCATTTACATCTTGTAAAGAATTATGCTACTTGTCCATTTACAGCTTGTAAAGAAGTATACTACTTGTCTATCCATTTATAGCGTGTAAATAATTATGCTACTTGTCCATTTACATCATGTAAAGAATTATGCTACTTGTCCATTTACATCTTGTAAATAATTATGCTACTTTTCTATCCATTTAAGCTTGTAAATAATTAATCTACTTGTCTATCCATTTACAGGTTGTAAAAAAATTATGCTACTTGTCCATTTACAGCTTGTAAAGAATTATGCTACTTGTATATCCATTTACAGCTTGTAAAGAATTATGCTACCTACTTGTCCATTTACAGCTTGTAAAAAATTATGCTACTTGTATATCCATTTACAGCTTGTAAAGAATTATGCTACTTGTCTATCAATTTACAGCTTGTAAAGAATTATGCTACTCGTCTATCAATTTACAGCTTGTATTGTAAAGATATTAACCAGAGTGTTTTCTAAAGGTATAAATAAACCTGAATCATGCAAGAGCTAACCAGGAAACAAACTTAACTTTATTAACTATGTTCTATATCAATATATAAATACATACTAAACCAAAGGTTACAGCTTTAAATACAAGTTTAAGCTTAAATGCTGTTAAGATAGATATATAGATTTTTAGTCGAAACTGACTTAGGTATAATTCTTGAAAAGTGTTTATTAATTGTTTTTAAATATCGTAAATCGAAGTTTTAATTCTTTTGAATTTTCAATACCTGATTTTCAAGTTAAGTATCTTGCATTTTTTTAGAACGCCCTTAATATGGTTTAATAAACCGAACATTAGACTAAGAGAGATTTTATTTCAACAAGAGTTTTAGACTTTTAGATTTTAGATAGATAGATAGATAGATAGATAGATAGATAAATAAATTTAAACAATTTTAAACAGAATCACACTCAAAACTATTTTTTTTTGTAAAGATTAAACTTCTCCTTACTTTCAAAAACAATACAGAAAATAAACATCAGCAGGTATGTACTATGAGTATTTTAGGAGGAAATTGCAATAAATCACAGTTTTTACCAAAAGTTAATCAACTATTGCCCCTGGTAGCAAGGATGTTCACTTTTATTACAAAAAATATGATTAATATGTTTAGGTTAGTTATGATGCCATCACGTCTACATAAACATTTGAAGGATGCAGGAAGTCCTACTGGTGAGCGCGCTGTCGCAAATTCATTTTGTGCCCTTATTTGCGGAAAGAAAGAGAAATGGATGTGGCTTGCCTTCCCCCCTCTCTAACCCTCGAATAGTTTTATGAATTTCATTACTAACCAACTACTTAAAGTGTTATGATTTGTATTCAATGTGCCCAGAGAACTTCTGTCAAAACTTTAAATCCAACATTTCAAACTATTCCTATTTAACTCCTTTCTCAGGACACTTTCAAAACATTTTCAGGGGACACTAGCAAGGAAAGTTTCAATTCACTTTAAATAGGAAAATAATTAACTAAAACTGTTTCACTACAGAGGGAAACATAAACTGTGGATTCGGAAGTCGACATTTAGGCAATCTTATTAGATGGCATCATGATTCATGGCGGAAACTTGCCAAAAGGTTAAGGGAATTAGGCCTTCGCAATACGGGGGCTGAGAGCAGCGGCTAGAGCAGGATAGGGGCCGAGCGCTGTAGCTAGGAGAGACTTGGGAAGTTACTGCTTGGGAAATCTCACAGTTGGTCAGTTGCAGCTTGGGAAAAAGCCTATAAGAAAGTACCTAACATCTATTAGATGGCGGAAACTTCCTAAAAGGTTGGGAATTAGGCCTTCGCAATACGGGGGCCGAGAGCAGCGGCTAGATCAGGATAGGGGCCGAGCGCTGTAGCTAGTACTAGGAGATACTTGGGAAGTTACTGCTTGGGAAATCTCACAGTTGCCCAGTTGCCCCTTGGGAAAAAGCCTTTAAGAAAGTACCTAACATCTATTACATGTTGTTTAGACAAGCAAATAGTTTTACCAGTTGCTTAAAACCATGTTTTTATGTGAAATGAGTTTGTGTAGTTGTGAACTGTACAATTGATGTGATTCAGGTTCGCTATGATTTAAAATCATAACTTGATTTAAACAGACGTATCTCTAGTCTCTATTCAACAGTTTTATGGATCTATACTTAGTGTAAATAAAAGTCAAATTTTAAATTTGGCTCTTCTTAAATAAATTTTTTATCGCATTTATAACAGAGGATATTTTAGTCAGGAAATATGGGGGGGGGGGGGTTATTAGAGGAAATAATAATTTGCAAAACTAGTATAATATCCAGGAAATAATTTTTTAAAAGAAGGAATAACAGTTATCAAATCAATACTAGTATCGGGGCCAAAGACAAAGAGAATAGAATATATATTAGAGTGGAGTTTAGACAATCCCTCGGTATGACTTTTGTCAGCCCCTTTCAGCCTGAAAGGGAGCTTAAAATGTACAAATTATGTAAATGTTCACAAATTTTATGCAGTAGAGTACATTAATACAGTATGTTCCCTAGACTATCCCTTTTAATTTCGAATTTTTTAAAGCTGTTAAATAAACGTTATAAAATTAATCATCGTTTGTAAAGTGAAAGGCATAGAGTCTATGTGAAATGATCCATGGTCAATTATAAAACCAGCCTATTTCATAATTTGGTTTTCTTTTAATATTAATTTTAGATTTTCTATAAAGTGATGTTCCAGGGCCCAAAAGGTTATTTAGCGCAAATATCTGAAGTACACCTGTAGTATGGAAACAGTACAACAAAATGGCCGTTTTACACTTTTTCTAGTAAATTCCCCTCTTATATATATTCTATTCTCTTTGGCCAAAGATTATATAGATAGTGCAAATAAGGGTAAACATATTTCATCGAAATATTGAAAGAATTAGGTATTGGAAAATGGAAGAATATTAAAGAACCCAATAAAAGAACCGACCTAATACGGTGGACCCAGTGTTGCTGAAAATCTACCTGTACCATTTTCTTTGTACAGGGTATCATTTCATTTTTAACCAAAACCTTGACCAACGGATGTTCAAGAAAAATTACGCTACAAAACATGAAACATTTCAATGGCCAAAAACCCTCAGTCTAGTCAAAAACTTGTCATATTATTATGATTGAAAAGTCAATTAAAATAGGTATTCTGAAGCTTATCCTACAAGTGATTGTATTTTTCGGGACTCAATATATAATGTATTTTAAATAAATTCTAAAAACTAAATATTGCATGATCCATAGAACTTAAATTGTTTATTTACCTCTTTACCATAGTTAATATCCCCTAGAAGCAGTTCAGGAGCTCTATACCATCGTGTAGCAACATAATCTTAAACAATAATAGTAGCAGTTCAGGAGCTCTATACCATCATGTAGCAACATAATCTTAACCAATAATAGTTGCAATTAAGGAGCTCTATACCGTCATGTAGCAACATAATCTTAAACAATAATAGTAGCAGTTCAGAAGCTCTATACCATCGTGTAGCAACATAATCTTAAACAATAAAAGTAGCAGTTCAGGAGCTCTATACCATCGTGTAGCAATATAATCTTAAACAATAATAGTAGTAGTTCAGTAGCTCTATACCATCGTGTAGCAACATAATCTTAAACAATAATAGTAGCAGTTCAGGAGCTCTATACCATCATGTAGCGACATAATCTTAAACAATAATAGTAGCAGTTCAGGAGCTTTATACCATCATGTAGCAACATAATCTTAATTAAACAATAATAGTAGCAGTTCAGGAGCTCTATACCATCATGTAGCAACATAATCTTAAACAATAATAGTTGCAATTCAGGAGCTCTATACCATCATGTAGCAACATAATCTTAAACAATAATAGTAGCAGTTCANCCCCCCCCTCGGCAAGCCATAATATACTTTAAACCATTCAAGCAGTCTTAAGGGGGAATTGAATCCCCATGAATAGTCCTTTAGATTGGTAGAAGTGACAGCTAAATGATTTGTCATGAGAAGGATAAGAAGGGAGAAGGGGAAAGAAGGGGAAACACAAGTTTATGAAATCCATTAAAGAGGAAATGAACGTTTGAAAGCAGAAAATTATTTTTACTTATTGAATAATAATCGGGTTTCATACCATAATGTTACTATTTGTAACATGGAATGACTGATAAAGGCTTTTAATACCTGTTTAAAAAACCCTTTTCCAACTCAGGCATGAGTAAAATGTAGATTTCATTTAAAGCAAAAACGTATAGATACAATTCAATTCTTCTATACATCAAGTTTGCGTATTAATGTATTTTTAAGGTGATTTGACTGTCAAATAGATAAAAAAATTCATATTTTTGTTTACATAAAAAGTGTACTGTAGTTTCTGGGACAAATATAAACTAAACTCGGCCTACAGCAGCACTAAGATTGTTTACATTCCTCCCAGAAATTTTGGTACAATTTATGTAAACAAAGATATGGGTATTCCTGCAATATATTTCTTGACTCTGGGAAGTAGTCTTGGGAAAAAAGTAAGCTGAAAATCCTACCCGGTAATCTTCTGTCAAAATTTGAAATGAATTATTTTAGAAAACTGAACTTGGAAAGGGTTTTATTGCTTGGAGTTAAAGATTTATAAAAGATCAAAAAAATGTGCAGGGTGTATTCGATCAAATTAATCATGTACAGGAAGAATATAGATTTGTTTGTAAAAATATATTTCTTTAAAGAATTTTAAATCTTCAACTTTTAAAGTTCTCCCCTCGCTGTATTTTATGTGACACACTAAGTGGAATTATATTAGAGTAATTACATAGGATGTGAAGAGAAGTTTGCTTAGAGGGCGGGTATAAACAATATAGTGCCCCTAATTTACACCTCCCCCCGCCTCCCGATACAAACGTCGCTGTTGAGTGCAGAGGGGCACAGGGGGGTGAGAATGATTTTAAAATTTGGACCAATTTCCCTCCCCGGTCCATGCGCATTGCGCATAACCCTTTGAAAAATGGGCTGACAAACCCACCCCCCGGAAAAACGTTGGGCCCAGATTAGGGAGTCAGCTTCGATTTAAAAACGGTTTTTTTTAAATTGAAAATTTCAAAAGTTCAACTTACGTTGTTGTTATGGCAGAAAGCCAGAGCACGTAGAACCTGGAATATATGTCGTCTTGCAACATCCTCATCCAACCCTCCAGGACTCAGTTCAAGCTCGTCTAAGCAAGAAATTTCTTAAGTACATCTAAAAAGAAATCTGAGCGCTTCGCACATGTTTCCTTTAAATGTTAGTTTTCTGCAAAACTTAGTTCTTATCAAACTATAACAATAAGAAAAATTTATCGAATCTTCATGTTTTTGTAGATTTAACGTTTTTCGAAAACACACTAACGAAACCAATCAAATACAAGTATTGACGATATATGTTTTCATTCAGATAATGCATTTAATTTAAAATAAAAAGGATCGAAAGGCTAAATATTATAAAAACTTGACATTAGTTCGATAAATCCAAATAGATTATCAAGTACAATAGGTGGCAACACGATAAATCCAAATAGATTATCAAGCACAATAGGTGGAAATACGATAAATCTAAAAAGATTATCAAGTACAATAGGTGGCAATACGATAAATCCAAAAAGAATTATGAAGTACAATAGGTGGCAACAGAGAAATGAACCAATTATGCACGACGTCACAAGTGTCAAATATAACAAGGAAAACGAAATTTTCTTACATTAGTTGACATGTTTTTCAAGATTCAATAAAAAAGAGTAAAAACAGGAAATAAAGAACACATAAAATTGCACTTATTTTACTGTAAGAGAAGCACTTAATTCATAAATTATCACTTTAAATAACAATTTTGTTGGACACAAAAACTGAATTGACACTTGTGACGTCAGAATACAGATGTGCTGAGCGAGTGCCATCTATTGTAATAGAATCTATTTGGATAAATCCAAGTTTGTAGTCATGAAAGTAGAAATCGATTATGTTTCTTCTACGATAATAGTGTAATTAAATTTCTGTCAATCCGAAAACTTTCCTTCTAAAGCATCTCTGCAACGATGTACTTTGATCTGATAGTGGTAATAATCAATTTATATAAAGGTACCTCCAGAGGGNTTGACTTGAAAGATTTCTATTTAGTGGATGTTTCTACTCTGAATATCCAATTCATCAACTTTTCTCATTACCTACTTTTTAAAGGAATATTTACTAAATTTACTAATATTTTACTTTAGATAATCTGTGTTTAAGATGAAAAAAGTTACACTTAGTTTTATATGTGGAATAAGTTTGATTTATTTCGTCTTCGAACGTTCCTATCTCCATTTACATTTTCAGTATAAAATAGAGAGGCGGATATTTAGAAAGGATTCTTTAAACTTGGATAAGTTTAAAATGTACGTGTTTCTTTTCTTGTCAATGCTTAAAGAGACTGCATATGTGTAATTTCAAATGGTCTATCATGCAAGGATGGTAACGCCCGATTCACAACGATACCATATCAAGCTTTGTCTCATCATAAAGTATGAATAAGTTATTAATGTTTATTATGTTAAAAACTGATTGATTCCATAATTTACGTAGTTTATTAACAAAAATGATTTGCGCTTTTCTAATTCGGGGGAACCATAGTGAAATTATTAGAATTAAATACTTATAAACGGGTATCGTTGTAAATCGGGCATTGTCATCTTAGTAAGGAGGGTTAATTATAATTACGATAACAGTACCTTCAAATCCAATATGTGAAGCGTTTTTTTTATTTAAAATATATACTAAGAATAATATATATATAAGATCCAGTTGTTAAAAGGTCCTATAACAAATGGGAGAGGGGTGTGATGGGTTTGTTTTATATGTATGTCTCAATGATAATACGTATACATATTTATATTCATGTATATTCCAACTGAGATTGGGTCTGACCCATGAAACTTTTTGTCTTGGAAAATATTTATATATATATATT